CGGAGGCAGCACCACGAACACCACGGTCCCCCCCCCCAGGCTGAGCAGCTCAGGAGGTCTCGCAGCGCGCGCCTCCATTCGCAGGGGCCCCCACAAGCGGTGCAGCGAGCCGCAGTGAGGGGACCCAGAACTTGAAAGCTGGCCACTGTGAACGTCACGTCGGCCCAGGCCGAGGGCCAGAAGATCTCCGCTGTGGGCGAGGTGCTCTCTCGATGGGGTTTCTGAATTGGTGCGTGACCAAGATGACCTCACATGGGCTTCTGCCCTATGGGCCAGCCATGCCGAAAAGGAGCTCATCGACCGCTACCAGATCTCAGCAGACAGCGTGAGGCAGTACCAGGGCAGGGGCCACTTGGACGAGCCCAACATGAAACTGGCCGCTCACATCCGCAACGCGCCTAAGGCCGCGGCAGAGGGGGCACAGCTTTCCTGATGGTGGCACAAAGCCAGTGCAACGTGCATTGACCTGGCGTTCAGTATCAACAAGGGCATGGCGATCACGAGCCAGTTCATCCAGGACCGCTTGTGCTCAAACATAAAGAACAGCGACGCCACCTGGGCCACATGGACTACCAGGGCGACGGCCGAGTAGCGCCTTCGCCCTGACAGGCTCAAAGACATGAGCTGGCTTACAGCTAAGGAAGCCACCAGCATTGAGGTCAGGATGGCCTAGCAGCGCGTCAACCATTGGAAACAGGAGGTGCGCAGAGAGGTCCAAGCCAGCAATGCCCATGGCTGGAGCAAGGCACCTCAGATCTGGGTCCCAACGCGGGCTGATCACGGTGGTGAAGGGATCGTTGGACATGCGCAACGCCTGAAGGAAGACCTACACGCGTGGGAAAAGGTATGGGAGCACAAAGGAGGCAGCGCCCCCCTCTGCGACCGCGACCGTGATCTTGGAGACGAGGAGGCTCCGCAGCCGCACACCCCATCGAACATCAGAGCGGCCGCCAAAACCTTCAGCTCTAAGACTTGCCCCGGGACGGACCGATTTCGGCCCCGATCTGTTGCGCTGCTCTCAGAGGAGGCCTTGGAAGACTTCAGCGGGGCCATGCGCCAGGCTAAGAGGATCGGCAAGTTGCCGCAGCACATGTGCAACACCATCTTGCCCCAGCTGCCCAGGCCTGACGGGGGGCACCGCCTCATTGGGCTTCTTCCTGATGCTCTGCGCGTCTACAAGAAGACGCGCAAGCCGCAGCAAGACCTCTGGAACTCACCGCGCAAGCGGAGCCACGAGTACGCGTGCGCGGGCAAGAGCACGGAGCAGGCAGCATGGCGACAGGCGGTCTTGGCGGAAGCGACGCTTGCCTTGGACAAGCACGCGGTTGCCGCTCTCATCGATCTGGCTAAGGCGTTCGAGACAGTCAATCACGATCTCCTTTGGGACTCTGCGATACGACATGGCTTACCACGGAGACGCATGGCCATGCTCATCCAGTCCTACGGCGGCCGCAGATCGATCAAGTTCGGCACCATCTGTAGCGACGCCATCTGCACTAACAGGGGCGTCATAGCCGGCTGCAGTTTCGCCGTCAGGATTATCAAGTGCTTCACCATTGACGTCTACGACCACATGTACGAGCTCTGGCCCTCCATCGGCCTCACGGTCATCATTGATGATTCCACGGTGCAAGCCAGTGGCGGCAGCGATCAGGTCGTCAACACTGTTACCCAGGCAACCAAGTTTGCATGCAAGCAGTTTGAGGACTTGAAGACGAGGGTCAGTGCCGATAAGGTCCAGGTGGTTGCAAGCACGGATGGAATAATGAGGGCAGTTGCAGTGCAGCTGTCTTCGCACCGCTTCCAGTCTAGAAGGGTGGCCAAGCAGCTGGGCGCTGACAGGCGGATGGCTCGGGCTGGGAGGACCGTTCAAGTTAAGCGAGCATTCAAGATGAGGATGCGCATCACGCGCTTCAGAAGGCTTGCGCGTGGGGGACGATCCATTTGTAGGCTTTACTGTGCAGGAGGACGCCCTGCAGTCACCTACGGGATGAGGGCCCACGGCGTGCCTGATGCTCAGCTCGCCAGCCTACGTTCCACAGCAGCCTTCTCCATCTTCGGCGCACCGAGGGGACGATCCAGGACCGTTGAGTTCATGTTCTCGGAGGTCCCGAAGGCGGATCCCAGCTACGACGCCAACGCCCTCCCCCTGGCCACTTGGCTTAAGGCCCTTTGGATGCAATTGGCCACTCCCCATCAGATGAAACTGGCCTTTCAATTTGCTATTAGTAAGTCAGGCAAGTGGGGGTCAGCCATTGGGTCTGCCGGCGCAGTTCTGGCAACACTGAAGCGCATCGGTTGGCAAGCGATCGGCTGGGACAAGTGGCTCATCCCAAGGCAAATCCTGGGGCATGGGGGCGGCGGCGGCAGTGCCGCAGCTCCCAGCCAGGACCAGAACGACACGCACGATGGCCTGATCGTCAATTTTCACGAAGTCGGGCTATATACCCCCCGCAAGCTCGTGGACCAGGCCGCCACCACACAGCTCCTTAGACATGTGCGTCTTGAAGGTTTCGAAGGGATCCCACTCCTCGACCCTGCCACCACGATGGTAACGGAGCTGACGGAGAAGGAGGACTACCAGGGTGCAGGGCTCCTCCGCACGTGGCTCGCTGGGGGTTTTTGGACGCAGGAGCAGCTGCACCAGTATGGGGCAGCCACCACGCCATTATGCGCCCTGTGCCGCTTTGAGGAGGGCACGCCATCACACCGCATATTCAGATGCTTGTTCCACGCGGCTGGGCGCCAAGACTGGCGCGGTGACGAGCGACGGCTGCTTGCCCAGGGACGCGTCGAACACGGACCTCGCCACCCAATGACAGACGTCACGCGTCGGGGGATTCTCCTTGACCCCGCATTTGACCCCAGCTATGGACTTCCGGCACCCCGTCATCATGATCGACCGGCGTGGGAACGTCAGCCCCCTGGAGGAGGATTTAGTGGGATCGTCTGCACAGATGGGTCGGGGAGGCATGCAGCGCATCGTCTTGTATCCTGAGCTGGCTGGGCCGTCGTCATGGTTAGTAACCAAGGCGATGCGCTGGGTGCGCTTAATGGTCTTGTGCGCTTCCCTTGGACGTGTTCTGCGGCAGGGGAGTTGTGGGCGGCCATCTTCGCCCTCCGCTTGAAGGGCCCTGCGCACATCACATTCGTCACAGACTACCTTGAGCTCAAGAAGGCTTGGGACAAGGGCAGCGACGCTGGCGCCAGCACAACGAATCGCCTCGGCGAACTATGGAGGGAGTTTTGGCGATTGGCACACGACATTGGCCGCGAGTCCATTGACATCGAGTGGATTCCCAGCCATCGCAGTGACGCCCAACGCCTGCGCGTAGGGCTCTCGGCCGCAGTTTGGCTGGGCAACCGTCGAGCTGATGAGCTTGCCAAGAGGGGAGCAGGCATGCACCCTAAGAATGTCCTCGCAGAGACGCTTAGGAAGGTTAGGGGGGTCTCGTCGCGATTCACGTTGCGCATGGTGCTCCGCGTCCTGCGACGATGCGCGCGCTGCAACTTCGCCGGCGCTGACCCTATTCCCTTTGAGGGGCCCAAGCGCGAAAGGCAAAAGCCTGACGCGCACGGGCACCTCATTGTTAAGCGAGGCCTGCGACGGTGTTGCGATCAATGTGGCCGCAGCCGCCACACTCGACGAGGCCTGTTGGCACAGCCATGTCAGGGCCTACCGACTGGCGTTAGAGTCGCGCACACTACACACCACCTCTGGCGCGCAGGCCAGATGGTGTTTTGTGCCACATGCGCCGCGCGCTGCGAGACGCGCGCGCGCACATGATCTCTAAGCCATGCATTGGGCCCCCTGCCCCTGGAACGAGCAGGCACTACAAACGTAGGTACCTGCTCCAGGGCAGGGGGCACAACGGCGAACGGCTTGGGGCGAACACAGATCGCCCAACGCCCGTGCGACGTGCCAGGCAGCATTAGCCTTGCGACTGGCCCTGGCCGAAAGGGTGGGCCTGGCGTTTTGCTCTGCTGTTGTAGACTGCCGTGCAATGCACGGTTTCCTCGAGAAAAAACAGGGTGCCCGGAGATTTGTTCGAAACGCCGTCTTCGACAATTTTCTGGGCACCCTGTGTTATCTCGAGTAAACTCGCCGTGTTGCGTCTTGCGCTACTGTTCTGTCACAGTACTGGTCGCTTGCCCTGTCATTTTCAGCGCAGCCCGTCGTGACCGAGAAACCCGAGAAACCCTCCTCCTCCCCCCTCCTCCTCCTCCTCCTCCTCCTCCTCCTCATCCTCCTCCTCCTCCTCCTCCTCCTCCTCCTCCTCCTCCTCCTCCTCCTCCTCCTCCTCCTCCTCCTCCTCTTGTTCTTCCTCCTCCGTCTTGCTCCGCTCGCCCCCTCACTCGTCAGAGAGGTCCCCGCGCAGGCAGGGCAGGCATGCAGAGTTGGGACTGGCAGCAGCCGCGAGCTTGCAGCGGCAGACATCAGCGGGGAGCACTGGCAAGCGGAGCTAGCAATCGGCGGCAGGCTGCAGCAGACAGGAACAGCAGAGGAGGAAGAGGAGGAGGAGGAGCAGGAGGAGGAGGAAGAACAGGAGGAAGGAAGAGGAGGAAGGGAGGAGGAGGAGGAGGAGGAGGAGGAGGAGGAAAGGGAGGGGGAGGCAGAAGGAAGGGTAGGCTGCAGCAGACAGGAACAGCAGCAGCAGTCACCAGCAGCAACCAGCGGCTTAACAGCAGCAGCAGCTCCAAGGCCACGATTACCAAACCGCAGCAGGTAGCGGCATCCACGAGCAGCCAGCATGCTGCGGCAGCAGTCATGTCAAATTGCATAGCGTTTGAGTGGAGCCACACAGCAGCAAGCGGCAACGAGCGGACGGGCAAGCAATGAAGCAAGCAAGAAGTCAGGCCAGCAGGCAAAGCAGGGAACCACGCCGAAAGACCAGAAGGCAAGGAGCCACGCAGGCATGAGTTCATGCAAGACGGCCAGCGATCCTCGCCCTCGCAAGCGGGTAAAATCCCGTGGACAATCGTCCACGAGTCTGCCCAAGTCAGCTACAGCGCTTGCATCAGCGCCTGCGAGAACAGCAACCAGTGGAAACAGGCTCTGTTGCTTCTCAGCGAGATAGAGGCGAAGTTGTAGCCCAACATTATCAGCTACAACGCTGGGATCAGCGCCTGCGAGACAGTCAACAAGTGGCGGCAGGATCTGTCGCTTCTCAGCGAAATGCTGGAGGCGAAGATTGAGTCAAACATTATCAGCTATGGCGGTGCGACCAGCGCCTGCGAGAAAGGCAACCAGTGGGAGCTGGCGCTGTTGCTGCTAGGCGAGATGAAACAGATAGTGATGGATCTCGACGTCTTCAGCTACAACGCTGGGATTAGCGCCTGCGAGAAAAACAACCAGTGGAATCAGGCTCTGTTGCTTCTCAACGAGATACAGGCGAAGTAAGAGCCCAACGTCATCAGCTACAACACTGAGATCAGCGCCTGCGAGAAGAGCTACCAGTGGCAGCAGGCTCTGGCGCTTCTCAGCGCGATGTGGGAGGCAAAGATGGAGCCCAACATCATCAGCTGCAACGCTGGCATCAGCGCCTGCGAGAAGGGCTACCAGTGGCAGCAGGCTCTGTCGCTGCTCAATGAGATGTGTGAGGCGAGGTTGGTGCCCGACGTCATCTGATCTATAATGCCGGAGCCAGGTCGTTCGAAACAGGCCGCCAGCAGATTGAGGGAGTATGTGCGTGATCTCACGTCACCCTGACTCTGGGCGAGTCAGGAAGTGATGTTGGCAAGCGCGCGAGTGAATGGCGCCCCCTGGCACCAGTTCCGTCGAATCTGGCGTCGAGCTTGGGATCGGAGGATCGCGCTGCAACGGCGATGCATCGGCGACACGGCGCGATCCCCGACCCCACTTGTTCTGGCCCCATATTGGGAGGCCTCACCAAGATTGGCAGCGGGAGGGGTCAGGGAGGGCGCGGGAGAGAGAGAGAGAGAGAGAGAGTGAGAAAGAGAGGGAGGGAGCGAGGGAGCGAGGGAGCGAGGGAGGGAGCGAGGGATGAAGCGAGGGAGGGAGGGAGGCAGGGAGGGGGGAGGAGGGAGGAGAAAGGAGGGGCGCGCGAGCGGCGCATGGGGCATGAGCAGGGGCACCTGCCACCTCGCGCGGAGTGAGGCCCACGATCCGCCGCAGAGCGGCGGACTCAGAATGACGGCCCGGGACCGCGTGCCTTTCCAGAATCTACACATTGTTCGCTTCTAATTACTCGAACAGTTTTTGAATTTTGGGGGATCCTGTCCTTTCTAGTTGTTCTGTCCTGGGCCTCTTCCTGGCCACCAGGGGGCCGGGAACAAATAGAAACGAGCCCAATTAGAGATGAGCACGATTAGAAATGAACAACGTACAGGCTTGCGAGGGTGTGACTGTTTCAATCTGGGCTTCTTTCCTCGATTTCGGCCTCCAGGGCCCACTATCGGGCCCCAGGGCCACCAAAAAAACGAATCCGGAGCGCGAAACTATGCTTGGATGGTCGGGAGCTCGGGGGCCCGCGGATTGCAGGCAAAAAATAAAAGGTCGGAGGATGTCTGGGGACAGCGCAAAAGGTTCGTTCCGAGACCGACCCAAAGACGGCCCCCGCTTGGAAAGTCCAGCCCACAGCGCCAGCTCCAGCACGTCGCCCCGTTTCTGCAGCACCTCGCAGCCCTTACCAACCAGCAGGATCGGCCGCTCGAAGGATCTGCAGCCTACTCAAGGACAGCAGCGGGGCCAGCATGCAGCGAACGAGGGCGAGCACCTTCCTGGTACCGAGCGCCAGCTCCAACACGTCGCCACACGTCGCCCACACAGAGGGAGGGCGGTTCCTGAGGCGCTCCGCTGTTTTCGGGGTCCCACGGCCCCGCCCTGGGCCCTCGGGACCTCCCACAGCTATGCAAGATGAAGAGCGGGGTCCAGGAGCCCGAGAACGTTGGGTCCAGAAGCCGGTGCGGCAGCCGTTTCGCCTTCGGCCCCAGGGAGCCCCCACGAGCGCCCAGGACGGCCCCTGGACGCCCCCTGTCCTCCTCCTCCTGCTCCTCCTCCTCCTCCTCCTCCTCTCCTCCTCCTCCCATCCCCCTCCTCCTCCTCCCTCCTCCTCCTCTCCTCCTCCCTCCTCCTCCTCCTCCTCCTCCTCCTCCTCCTCCCCTACCCTCTCCTCTCCTCCTCCATCCTCCTCCTCCTCCTCCTCCTCCTCCTCCTACCCCTCCTCTTCACTCCTCCTCCTCCCTCCTTCCTCCTCCTCCCTCCTCCTCCTCCTCCTCCTCCTCCTCCTCCTCCTCCTCCTCCCCTCCTCCTCCTCCCCTCCTCACTCTCCTCCCCTCCTCCCGAGGCCCCCTCCTCCTCCTCCTCCTCTCCTATCCCTCCTCCCTCCTCCTCCTCCTCCTCCTCCCTCGTCCTCCTCCTCCTCCCTCGTCCTCCCTCCTCCTCCTCCTCCTCCTCTCCTCCTCCTCCTCCTCCTCCTCCGCCTCCTCCTCCTCCTCCTCCTCCTCCTCCTCCTCCTCCTCTTTCCGGAGCGCTCTGGAACGGCCGCGGCGCACGGTATATCCTCCAGACCCGCTGGATCTCAGAGATCCCCGATTGCGCAGGCCTTACGGCTGGGGCCGCCGACCCTGAAGGCGGGACCTTCCCCGGGGCCCTCGCTAGCGACCCACCCCCCGGGGACCCCTGAGACCTCGAGGCTGCGGCATTCTGATCTGGGACCCCCGCGCCCCCGCCCCCACCCACCCACCCAACCCACCCACGAATGCAGGGAAGGGATCAAAGGGAAGGGGCTCCCCCTCGACGAACTTACCACGTTCTTCAATTGCCTTGTTAGTTTTAGTGGGACTGACAACGACGACGACGACGACGACGACGACGACGACGACGACGACGACGACGACGTTGACGACGACAGCGTCTTCACACGCCGGGGGGTCGGCGGATTTGTCCCGGTCCGATTTTGTCCCAGTCTTGGCCTCGTCTTATGCACACGGAGCAGCGAGTGCGAATGGCCCAGCAGCGGCAGGGCCGAGGGGGGGGGTCGGGGTTCACATGCAACGGGGGTCAGCCAAATCCCCTCTGGCTGGCTTAGGTTTGAGAGCCACGCGCGCAGGGGCCAGGGGGTAGCAAAGGGAGGAGGAGGAGGAGGAGGAGGAGGAGGAGGAGGAGGAGGGAGGAGGAGGAGGAGGAGGACGACGTGGGGCCGATTCCTTGTACGTTTTCCAGCGCACCGTCGAGGCGGAGCTCCACGCCCTGCCCGCGGACCTGCCTGCGGGGGGGGCGACGGTCCTGGGGCGTTGTGGGCACCTCGCCGCCCTCCCTCCTCCTCCTCCTCCTCCTCTCCTCCTCCTCCTCCTCCCCTCCTCCTCCTCCTCCTCTCCTCCTCCTCCCCTCCTCCTCCTCCTCCTCCTCCTCCTCCTCCTCCTCCTCCTCTCCTCCTCCTCCTGCTCCTCCTCCTCCTCCTCCTCCTCCTGCTCCTCCTCCCCCTCCTTCTCCTGCTCCTCCTGCTCCTCCTGGGCACCCGGGGCCAAGAAGGCCAGCACAGAGCGTCCACGGGAGGGGGGATTGCCCCTCGCCGCCCTCCGCTGGCCTGGGATTGGGAGGGCACTCACCAGCTGCACGTAAGAGTGTCAGGAGGGAAAGAAACACACAGACAAATTGAATCGTCGATCCCCAGGAAAATATAGGAAAATACGGAAAGTGGGGGGGGGGGAGACAGAGACCCATAACATATGGGAAATATGGGGAATCCTGTCATTTGTGTGTGTATTTCTTTGTGTGTCCCAGGGCCCCTTCAACTCACCAGCTGCACGTAAGAGTGGCCCTTCGCTGGAGTGGCCTTTGGTGGGTGGCTTTCGGGGGGCGCTGCGGGGCCAAGCCCAAGCACGCAGGCCGCCTCTGTCGGACCAAGCGCAGCGATCGGCCGGCCGCGCGAGAAAGGCCACTCTTGCCTGGGCTCCATCCTTGCGTGCAGCCGAGCCACAGCCCACCCGCATGGTAAGCATGGGCCACCTTCCCATGGGTACCCTCGCATCCTTGCCTCCTCGGCCCATCATTGGCCATTCTCGTCGATGGAGGCATCGGCCGGCGCAAGGGCTAGGGCCGGGAGGGAGCCCGAGAGCGCTGCCGCGCGCGCCCGAGGGCGACGCCGCGAGCGCGCGCGGGCGCCATCGGGTCTGCCGCTGGCTGCTCGCGCCATCCTCCTCCTCCTCCTCCTCCTCCTCCTCCTCCTCCTCCTCCTCCTCCTCCTCCTCCTCCTCCTCCTCCTCCTCCTCCTCCTCCTCCTGGTTGGAATTCCTTGGGCCCTCTGGGTCTGGTGCGGGGTGATCTTCAGGCGCAACGTTAGGGGGGGGGGTAGGCTCAGGGGGGGGACGCATCTGCCAGCAATCGCCCATGCATCGCCGACGGGGGCCCGACAGCCCACCCCGCCCTGGAGCGTGCGGACTCGCTCTCGGGGGCCTGTCGCCGACCTATCGGCGAGATACGGCCGATTCCAGGTTGATGCTTCCCCCCTGAGCCAGTCCTCCCGACGTTCCCCCTCAAATCAAGGTGGCGTTGGTCCAGGTCCGGAGCGCTGCAGTCCTTCATGCGTTCCTTACACCCCTGGCACTTCGCAGTGGTGGGCTTCAGCAAGCCTCGGCCAGACGGGGCTAGGACGAGGAAAAATCCGTTCCAGAGCGTTCCGGAACGCTCTCAGAGCGTTCCGGAACGTTCTGAGAAGGCCGCGGCGCCCGAGACATCCTCCAAAGCCGCCGGATCTCAGAGATTCCCGATTGGTCCTCACCCGATGTTGTCTTCCTCCTGGCTTCGCTTTACTCGGGACGCGGTCCAGAGGCCTCCAAGAGATCCCCAAAAAGCTCGCAGGAGCCCCCAGAAGCGCCCAGCACGCCCTCCCTGTAGCCCAACCTGGCTACGGTTGTCCTCCAAGAGAGCCCCCAGGCGGCTCCAAAAGCCCAGGACTGCCGCAAGGTGGCCCCAGGACATCCGACGGCCGCCCGACTCCTAAAATCGCCTCCGTCTCCTCCTCCTCCTCCTCCTCCTCCTCCTCCTCCTCCTCCTCCTCCTTCTCATCATCATCATCATCATCATCATCATCATCATCATCATCATCATCATCATCATCATCATCATCATCATCAGAGCAGCAGCAGCAGCATCAACATCATCATCATCATCATCATCATCATCATCATCATCAGCAGCAGCAGCAGCAGCATCATAATCATCATCATAATCGTCATCATCATCAGCATCAGCATCATCATCACCATCAGCATCATCATCAGTATCATCATCATCATCATCATCATCATCATCAGTATCATCATCATCATCATCATCATCATCATCATCATCATCATCATCATCATCATCACTATTATTATCATCATCATCATCATCATCATCATCATCATCATCATCATCGCGAATTAGCAATGCTTTCCTCTTCCCTGTCTAGCTGCGTGTCTGGCCACAACTGCCAGAATTCAGCGCATCAGTGGATATCGCCAGCATAGGTGAAGGAATCGTTGCAGTGGCCCGCATTTGACCTTTGCACGAACCGCCCTTGTAGTCTAAGTGTTGCGCGGCGCAAAAAAAACAGTGACCGCAGGGCGCCATGCTGAAGGCAATTTCACTTTTCAAGCTAGTTGGTCTAGCATGGGCTGGGCCAGCTTCACTGTCTTAGCTTGGGGCGATGGGCTGCGAGTATCTCCCAGGCTGGCAAGCCGTGAATTACTCACAAGCTCCAGGATTCATCAGAAAAACCAACAACAACAACAACAACAACAACAACATCATCATCATCATCATCACCACCACCACCATCATCATCATCAACATCATTATCAGTATCATTCTCATCATCTTCATCATCTTCATCATCATCATCATCATCATCACCATCATCATCACCATCATCATCATCATCATCCCCCTTCCCCCCCCTACCCTCGGGGAAACGTAAGACTCGAGCACGCCGGAACCAGGGTTTGCCCTCGCTTTTTGACGAGCGCGTCCTGGATTTTGGCGGTCCAGGTTTCGACTTCTGCAGCGCGAGCTCGCATCAAGTTTCAGATTGGTCTCGTCATTTCCATGATGGCCCCTTCAGGCCATCCCAAGTCCCCCGAACCCGAGTCTTACGTCTCCCCCATGACCCTCCTCCTCTCCCTCCCTCCTCCCCCTCGGGCCCCTCCTCCTCCTCCTCCTCCAGGAGGCTCACAAGAGCCCCAACACAAGGCCCGAGAAGGCCACGGGGCATGCCCGAAGATACGCGGGCCAAGACAGCACCCGCATAGTCTTGCAGTGCCTCATAAGGCTCAGAAATCTCCAGGCTACACGACGCCCCAAGACGGCCCAGGATGCACCGATAGGTCTCAGTCGTGTCCCAGTACACTCCCCAGCAGTCGCAGCATAGCCAGGGGCAGCAGGTCGGATCAGCCAGCAAGCGGCAACCAGCAATAAACATGCAACAAGCAGCGGCAAGCAGAATCAGCAATCCGCAGAATCAGCAGACACGAAGCAGCAATCGGCAACCTCAACAGCAAGCACCAGCATCAAGCAGCAACATGTGTTCGACGGCCGCTGGTAGTTCCACGGACAGTCGAAGCGGCCCTGTAGCACGCCGCAGAGGTCTGAAAGTGGGGCCAAGAAGACTTCCCCGTCCAGCCAAGCACGCCCCAAGACACAAGGTGTCCCAACCGGATTGATGTGCTGTCACTCGGCTGAGCCACGTTAGATGAGCAATTCGCCTGCGGAGTTGCCCCATAGTTCCGCACTAGTAAGCTGCAGTGCCGGGATCAGCGCGTGCGAGAAGGGCAAGCAGTGGTTTTGGGCGTTGTCGCTGTTCAGCGAGATGCGGGAGGCGAAGCTCCATCAAGACGACATCAGCTGCAGCTCTGTGATTACCACATTCGAGAAGCGCGGGCAGTGGCACTGGGTTCTGTCGCTGCTCAGCGAGGTGCGAGAGGCGAAGCTGGAGACGAACGTCATCTGCTTCAGAGCGGGGATCAGCGCCTGCGAGCAGGGCCGTCGGTAGCAGCGCGCTCTGTCGCTGCTCGGCGAGATGTGGGAGCCATAGCTGTGGCCCAACGTCATCTGCACCTCCTCCTCCTGCTCCTCCTCCTCCTCCTCCTTCTCTTCCCCCTCCCCCTCCTCCTCCTCCTCCTCCTCCTCCTCCTCCTCCTCCTCCTCCTCCTCCTCCTCCCACGATCCCGGTCGAAGCGCATCCCAGAGAGGGGTCTCCACGGCGGTAGCCCCAGACCCACCGGCCAGCTCGTGAAGGGGAGCTCTCGGGAGCGGGAGGCGCGGCCTCTGGGGCCCGAGGGCAGCACGAGCGGTGCTCTCGGGCCCTGCTCGGAGCTCCCTGGCGTCCAGCCAGAACGCTGGGAGCAGCGCGCGTGAGTCAGGCAGTGGCGAAGCGTCCCGGCGTGCCTGTAAGCCTACCAGAGAATGTTCTAAGAACCTTTTGTGGTTCCCACGAAATATTCTTAGAACATTTCTGGTTGGGGCTGTCTTGTTTTATCGCATCGGGTTTGTGTTCTAAGAATATTGTCTATGTTCTTAGCGCACTTCTGGGTTCTCAGGACATTTCGTGGTAGGACTACAGGAATGCCGGGACGGTCGGCCCCTGCTCACGCGAGAGAGCGGCGAAAAATTGCTGCAGGCTCTACGGCCAGGAAGTTTGGCTCAGCGTGTCGCGCCGCCGGTCCTGGCCCACCACGCTTCGGCGCGAGACGCTAACCACGTCCCAGTCCCCAGGCCTGCGCGTCCCGGGCCTCTCGAGGCCTCCCGCCACGCGGAGCGGAGCGGCACGCCATCCGCTTGAAGGGCATGGCTTGTCGCCAGGGCCGCCGCCGCGACGCGCTAAGCAATAGTTCCTGACCGTATCATTGCTCAACGTCGTGTGGGGCTGAACGTGATCAGCGTTCGCGCTGGGTACAGCGTGAGCGAGAGGGGGGAGCAGTGACAGCGGGTCCTGGCGCTGCTCCCGCGAGAGATGCGGGGGCCAGAAGCACTATTCTTGCTCAGGGAGATGGGAAAAGCGATGCTGGAGCCTGGCATCGCCATCTATAGTGGTGGCATCGGTTCTCTGGGTGAATAGTGGTGAACTGATCTAGCGTAGCAGCTATATATAATGTTACACGAACGCGTGCTGACTTTGCGTCGGTGGGTGCAGCGCGCGCAGCAGCCTTGCACACACGCAAGGCCTGCTTCCGTGACGTCCGACCGTTGGGGTCGGGTTTCTCCCTCCTCGAGGTTGGGCCAACGCCGGGTGGCCAGCACTCCCCCTGCATCGCTTGCGGTGTAGGCCCGCCCAGGCACGGGTGTGTGTGGGTGGGGGGGGGGGCGAGGGTGTTGAGGCTCCTGCTGACCACCGACTGCGGCTCCCCATCGGGATTGTTCATAGATGCCCCCTTGTTTACTGGGCTCAACCCACGGGGCTCGAGGGACCCGGGGCGGCAAGCGTGCAGAAGAAAGATAGGCAGAAAGAGCCAGTGCGTGCCTACTTGTTCATCTCTCGCCTTTTTCAACGCAGTCCTATCCACAGCTGCGGAGTTCTAGTGAGACTTGGATGGGCAAGCAGGCGGTGGGTAGATGAGGGAGACGATCCCCCCACCACTGCAGGGTTCCTCCGAAGGGCTTAGGCGACCCCTCCTCCTCCTCCTCCTCCTCCTCCTCCTCCTCCTCCTCCTCCTCCTCCTCCCTCCTCCTCCTCCTCCTCCTCCTTCTCTTCCTCCTCCTCCTCCCGCCTCCTCCTCCTCCTTCTCCTCCTCCTCCTCCTCTTCCTCGCTCCACTTCCTCCCTCCTCCTCCTCCTCCTCCTCCTCCTCCTCCTCCTCCTCCTCCTCCTCCTCCTCCTCCTCTTCGCTGCTCCTTGGCTCGCTGCTTCTCCCTCCCAGGCTGCTGATTCCTTTTCTTGCTCCCTCCTGCTTCCTCCTCATAATCCTACTTATGTCGTCCTCTTCCCGTTCCTCCTTTCGTCGTCACAATCGCCACCACCATTGGCCTCATCATCCTCATCCTCATCCTCCCCAGTTCTCCTCCTCCTCCTCCTCCTCCTCCTCCCTCCTCCTCCTCCTCCTCCTCCTCCTCCTCCTCCTCCTCCTCCCCCTCCCCCCCCCTCCTCCACCCTCCTCTCTCCTCCTCCTCCACCTCCTCCTCCCTCCTCCTCCTCCTCCTCGTGTTGCCTACGGCCCCGGGGGAAACCGTGCACCCCCCCCCGTCTTTCTATAGCAATCCCGGCGGCCGTCAAGCTTTCTCATATCCTCCTCCTCCTCCTCCTCCTCCTCCTCCTCCTCCTCCTCCTCCTCCTCCTCCTCCTCCACCTCCACCTCCTCTTCCTCCTCCTCCTCCTTCTCCTCCTCGCTGCTCCTTGCCTCGCTGCTTCTCCCTCCCAGGCTGCCGATTCCTCTTCTTGCTCCCTCCTGCTTCCTCCTCATCATCCTACTTCTGTCGTCCTCGTCCCCTTCCTCATTTCGTCGTCACCATCGCCACCACCATTGGCCTCATCATCCTCATCCTCATCCTCATCCTCCCCAGTTCTCCTCCTCCTCCTCGTCCATCCCTTCTCCTTATAACTCTTCCCTGCCGCAGCCCCAGACGAATCGTCATCGTCATCCTCATCCTCCTCCACCTCCTCCTCCTCCTCCACCTCCTCCACCTCCTCCTCCTCCTCGTGTTGCCTACGGCCCCGGGGGAAACCGTGCACCCCCCCCCCCCCCCCGTCTTTCTATAGCAATCCCGGCGGCCGTCAAGCTTTCTCAGATCCTCCTCCTCCTCCTCCTCCTCCTCCTCCTCCTCCTCCTCCTCCTCCTCCTCCTCCTCGCTGCTCCTTGCCTCGCTGCTTCTCCCTCCCAGGCTGCCGATTCCTCTTCTTGCTCCCTCCTGCTTCCTCATCATCATCCTACTTCTGGCGTCCTCGTCCCCTTCCTCATTTCGTCGTCACTATCGCCACCACCATTGGCCTCATCATCCTCATCCTCATCCTCATCCTCCCCAGTTCTCCTCCTCCTCCTCCTCGTCCATCCCTTCTCCTTATAACTCCTCCCTGCCGCAGCCCCAGACGAATCGTCATCCTCATCCTCATCCTCATCCACCGCTTTCTCCTCCACCTTCTACTCCCCCTCATCATCATCATTCTCCTCATTCTTCGATCTTTCGATCGTTGAGAAGCCACGTCCCTCAATTGCGAGAGCCACGAGGCAGCTGGCTGGCGACCGACGACGGCCACGAGAAGAGAGAGAATAGAGAGAGAGAGAGGTGCCACCCGCGATCGGTTCCCGATCAGAGCCGGGTCGGCGCCGCCGCAGGCAGAGGAGAGCACCTCCCCACGAAACGTTTGGTGGATGGGTCCTTCCCCGCCGTCAGTTGCTTAAGAGTCTGCAGGGCTGCACGGTTGGGAGGGGGGGGGCCCAGGACACGGCACCCCGAAGAGCTTCAAACCGAGCGGGCCCGAGAGCAGCACAACGGCTGCACCAAATCAGCCTGCCCGCAGCAGCCCAGAGGTTGTGAAGGAGAGTGTGGGTGACGTGGGCAATCCTGGCGAGCCTCGGGCGTCCTGTGCGAGGGAGGCGGCAGGTGGCCGCCTCTGAAGCCCCCCTGCCCTTCCCGCATGTCCTCTGCACATGGCGGCCGCTTCGGTCACAAACAAGCAGGAGGGGGTCGTGCTTGGGGCGAGGGGGGCCTCTAATTGTTTGACGTCTGGACAAGTAGATCTGCTAAGGCACTCCACGACATGGGCCGGATACAGCGAGAAGTCCTTAACCTCCTGGCGCCGTCTACGGTGGAGGTCTCTGAGGCAGGGCCTGCAAGGGTGCATGGCCGCACCGCGCTTTGCAAGACCGTCGGCTTCATCATGTCCCATAGCTCCTGATCATCATTATCATCATCATCATCATCATCAGCATCATCATCATCAACATCAACATCAGCAGCAGCAGCATCAGCATCAGCACCAGCACCAGCATCAGCATCATCATCATCATCATCATCATCATCATCATCATCATCATCATCATCATCATCATTGCATGCTGTACGTCGCCCAATCCAGGCTCCCGCCGCGCGCGCTCTCGTGCAAGCGGAAAACGGCGTCATCAACAAGCTCTGGCACGTTCCGCCGTCTACCTTCACTCCTCGTGGAATGGCTCGCGCCTCCGAGTTCGGCGCCGTCGATGTCGTCTCCGTCTCCCTGGCTTGCGTCGCCGCGCTGATCCGCGCCGCGCTCATCACGCTGGACTGGAAGACACCCCTGGCCGAGCTTCGGCGGACCGCCGACCAGGCTGCTCCGGATCGTTCTCTTGCTGATTTTGGTCGCCCGAAGCCGTGGGCTCCACACTGGAGGACGCCAGCAATCGCACGGACACTCGAGCGCGTTGCTTCTAAACAACTTTTGCCTGTTTCCAAAGACCTTCAGAGGGCCATGGCTGCCGCCGTCAACGAGGTCACCAAGGACCCAGATTCGCGGAAGGGTGTGCAGAAGAGAGCGTACGTGATGCTTTAAAAAATGATCTTCCAGCCTAGCATCCGGGACATGCTCAAGGCCGGTCTGCACCGCCACTGGCCGGAGCAGACCAGCGACATCAACGGCATCGATTTTGACGCCCTCATTGCCACTATTAGGACATCTCGCACTCGTATCTCGACTTCGTCCCTGAAAATTTGGATGGGTGGATGGACGACCAGCGCGAGGATGCATGAGAGCGTGGTGCACCGGTGCCTTTTTGGCTGCACAGCGAAGGACGAATGGGCCCACTACGCCGACTACCTGCCGTTGTGGTCCACTGTGTACTCCACGCTGGGCGCGGCCCCGCCCGCCCCGAGATTCGAGTGCATCGGTCTCCACGCCAAGCGGCCCGACGACCTCCACCCGGTCTTGATTGCGGTCGAAACCTACCAGAAGCTGAAACACGAACATCTCCAAGAAGCTCTCCTTGCACGTCAACAACAAAATTACCGAGTATTCCATGCACTGACGGACCGCCTGGCGATGGTTGCCGCGCGTCTCGTTCAGTAAACACCCGGCTGGCCGCAGCTGGTACGGGCATCATCATCATCATCATCAGCAGCATCATCATCAGCATCATCAGCATCAGCATCGGCATCATCAGTATCAGCAGCATCATCATCATCATCATCATCAGCAGCAGCAGCATCATCATCATCATCCGCATCCGCATCTTCCGCATCCTCCTCTTCTCCCATAGCTCCTCCTCCTCCTCCTCCTCCTCCTCCTCCTCCTCCTCCTCCTCCTCCTTCCTCCTCATCATCATCATCCTCCCCCTCTGCCTCTTCCTCTTCCTCCTCCTCCTCCTCCTCCTCCTCCTCCTCCTCCTCCTCCTCCTCCCTCTTCCGCGTCATTATCCCCATCCTTCTCCTCCGTCTCCTCCATGTCCTCCATCCCTCCTTCCCATCCTCAAGTTCCCTCCCTGTGCACTTTAGCCCCCAGCTTTCTCACAGTCGAGACATATTCTCCACAAATGTGTGGTTGCCCGTGTCTTGACTTGATGCTTGATTATTCTACGCGCCACCCTCCTTCGTTCGCCTCCGCCTCGCCTGTCGGTCACCTTGGGCTCTTCGGCCTCGGCCCGGCCTCCGCCGACCAGTCTGCCTATGTGCCTCCTGCTTTAATGATATCGCGCGTCCTGTCTAGCGTACCTGCAAGGGGCTCGATAGGAGCGGCCCCGTTGCTGTCACATGCTTTGCTCGGGCGAGGCTCGGGCAATCGGCGAGGCGATCGCCTGTTGTTGCTCAGGTGGTCCGATGAAGACGCCGACCCGCGGCAGCGTCGCTCCCCCTCCCCCTTCCTTCCTCGTCACTCCTCGTTGCCCATCTCCTCCTCGTCGTCGCAATCTTCGTAGTCGTCGTCGTCGTCGCCATCATCCCTCCTCATCCTCACTCCCTCCCTGCCTCCCTCCCGCCCTTCCCCCCTCCTCCTCCTCCTCCTCCTCCTCCTCCTCCTCCTTCTCCTTCTCCTCATCATCAAATTCTCCTCCTCTTCCTCCTTCCTCCTCCTTCACCTCCTCCTCCTCCTCATCCTCCACCTCCCTCCGCCTCCATAGTCCTCCTCCTCCTCCTCACCCTCCTCCCCCTCCTCCTCATCATCATCGTCATTCTCCACCTCGTCCTCCTCCTCGTCTTCTTATTTCTCCTCCTTCTCGTCCTCCTCCTCTTCCTCCTCCTATTCCTACTCCGCTCCCTGCTCCTCCTCATCCTCATCCTCTTCCTCTTATTTCTCCTCCTCCGCTTCCTCCTGCTCCTCCTACTCATCCTCCTCATCCTCCTCCGCCTCCTCTCATCCTCCTCATCTTCATCCTCCTCCCTCATCCTCCTCCCCTCCTCCTCCTCCTCCTCCTCCTCCTCTCCTCCTCCTCCTCCTCCATCATCATCATCATCAGCAGCATCATCATCATCATCCGCCTCCCTCTTCCTCCTCCTCCTCCTCCTCTTCCTCCTCCTCCTCCTCCTCCTCCTCTCCTCCTCCTCATCATCACCACCACCCATCACCACCATCAGCAGCATCATCAGCATCATCAGTATCATCGGCATCATCCGCAGCAGCATCATCATCAGCACCATCATCCTCAGCAGCATCAGCATCACCATCCTCATTATCAGCAGTTGCCGCATCAGCATCATCATCAGGGTCATCATCATTAGCAGCATCAGCACCATCGTCAACAGCATCATGTTCATCATGGTCATCAGTATCATCATCATCATCAGAATCATCAGCAACAGCATCATCAGCAGCATGGCCAGTATCGTCGACACCGTCATCATCATCATCATCAGCACCAGCAGCAGCAGCAGCATCAGCATCAGCATCAGCATCGCAATGATCGCCACAGTCAGCAGCATCATCATCATCACCAGCATCATCATCATTACCATCATCAGCATCATCGGCATCAGCATCATCATCAGCATCCACCGTCCCCCGCCTCATCATCCTCATCCTCCTCATCATCCTCAGAGTCCTCCTCATCCTCCTCCGCATCATCATTATCATCAGCAGCCTCACCATCACAACAGCATCGGCATCATCATCAGCATCAGCATCAGCAGCATCAGCAGCAGCAGCAACATCCACCAGCATCAGCATCATCATCAGCAGCATCATCATTATCAGCAGCAGCATCAGCAGCATTATCACCATTATCAGCAGTATCAGCATCATCAGCATTATCCGTAAGGGCTTCGCCCCCTGCCGCCGGCCCCCTCTCTCGGAGAATGGGCCATGGAAGAGCTAAGTCATGAGGCCTTGGCGCTGTTGTGAAGCAGTATCGAAACTTCATGCGAAGCCGATTCGCAATCAGCAAAACCAACTGATCACAAGAGGGGTTACCACACCTGGCGATTGGTAAGACGTGTATGGTTTACGGGCTTGGTTACCACACCTTGCGATTAAAGGGCCGAGGGAGTTCTCGCAGTTTGGGTTACCACGCCTTGCGATGGATGTGCGTGAAGGGTGGCACCGAATTTCAGAAATGTGCCAAATCCCCTGTGTTTTTGGACCCTGACCCCGCGGATCTGCGTGAGGGGTGGCACCGAATTTCAGAAATGTGGCAAATCCCATGTGTTTTTGGACCCTGACCCCGCGGATCTGCGTGAGGGGTGGCAGAAATTTTGTTTTTGGACCCTGACCCCGCGGATCTGCGTGAGGGGTGGCACCGAATTTCAGAAATGTGGCAAATCCCATGTGTGTTTGGACCCTGACCCCGCGGATCTGCGTGAGGGGTGGCACCGAATTTCAGAAATGTGGCAAATCCCATGTGTTTTTGGACCCTGACCCCGCGGATCTGCGTGAGGGGTGGCACCGAATTTCAGAAATGTGGCAAATCCCCTGTGTTTTTGGACCCTGACCCCGCGGATCTGCGTGAGGGGTGGCACCGAATTTCAGAAATGTGGCAAATCCCATGTGTTTTTGGACCCTGACCCCGCGGATCTGCGTGAGGGGTGGCACCGAATTTCAGAAATGTGGCAAATCCCCTGTGTTTTTGGACCCTGACCCCGCGGATCTGCGTGAGGGGTGGCACCGAATTTCAGAAATGTGGCAAATCCCATGTGTTTTTGGACCCTGACCCCGCGGATCTGCGTGAGGGGTGGCACCGAATTTCAGAAATGTGGCAAATCCCCTGTGTTTTTGGACCCTGACCCCGCGGATCTGCGTGAGGGGTGGCACCGAATTTCAGAAATGTGGCAAATGTTCCCATGTGTTTTTGGACCCTGACCCCGCGGATCTGCGTGAGGGGTGGCACCGAATTTCAGAAATGTGGCAAATCCCATGTGTTTTTGGACCCTGACCCCGCGGATCTGCGTGAGGGGTGGCACCGAATTTCAGAAATGTGGCAAATCCCATGTGTTTTTGGACCCTGACCCCGCGGATCTGCGTGAGGGGTGGCACCGAATTTCAGAAATGTGGCAAATCCCCTACCCTGACCCCGCGGATCTGCGTGAGGGGTGGCACCGAATTTCAGAAATGTGGCAAATCCCATGTGTTTTTGGACCCTGACCCCGCGGATCTGCGTGAGGGGTGTCGATTTCGAGCCCCCCCAGCAATTCAGACAACGCGCCCAGGGGGTGCTAAAAATCCTGTTTGGGCCTCCCCCCCCCTCGCGCGGTCAATCAACTAGTTACAGTAACCAGCAATAAGTCAACTAGTTACAGCAACCAGCAAGAAGCAGAACTGTAACACTGGAAACTACAACCTACGACTGGTACAGGAAACTGCGAATCACGCGCCTACAGCCTGGTGGCCCCACAAGGGGGCCGGCGGATCATAAGCATCATCAGCAGCAGCAGCAGCAGCAGCATCATTATCAACATTAGCATCGGCAGCATCAGCAGCATCAGCAGCAAGAGCATCGTCACCGTCATCAGCAGCAGCATCAGCAGCATCAGCAGCATCATCACCCGCCGCAGCAGCAGCAGCAGCGTCAGCAGCATCGGCACCATCAGCTGCAGCCGCATCAACACCAGCACCATCAACATTATCAGCATCAGCAGCATCATCGTCATCAGCATCATCTTCATCTGCATCCTCATCACCATCATCATCATCATCATCATCAGCAGCATCATCATCATTAGCATCATAGTCATCATCATCTGCATCATCAACATCATCATCAGCATAATCATCGTCGTCGGCATCATCCTCATAATCAGCATCAGCATCATCACCATCATCATCAGCAGCAGCATCACCCGTATCAGCATCATCATCTCCATCATCATTAGCAGCATCATCCGCCTCCATCCTCCTCGTCCTTCTTCTCCTCCCCCTCCTCCTCCCCCTCCTCCTCATCCTCCTCCTCCTCATCATCATCATCATCATCCTCATCCTCATCCTCATCCGCATTCTCATCATCATCCTACTCATCTTCGTCCTGCTCCTCCTCGTTCTCCTAGTTCTCTTCGTTCTCCTCCTCTCCTCGCTGTCCCCTCCTCATCCTCATCCTCATCATCATCAGCAGCACCATCGGCATCATCACAATCATCATCAGCAGCATCATCATCATCATCATCATCATCAACATCGTCATCATCATCAGTAACAGCATCAGCAGCATGAGCATCATCATAATTTTCAGCAGCAGCATCATCATCACCATCAGCATCATGACCAGCATCATCGCCAGCATCATCATAGCATCATCATCAGCATCATCATCATCATCAGCAGCATCAGCATCAGCAGCAGACTCGTCATCATCCGCATTGTCATCATCAGCATCAGCATCAGCAGCATCATCAGCAGCAGAATCAGCAGCAGCATCAGCATCATCATCAGCAGCATCAGCATCATGACCATCATCATCACAATAATCAGCATCAGCATCATCTTTATTAGTATCAACATCACAATCAGCAGCATCAGCATCATCAGCATCATCGTCATCAACATCAGCATCAAAGTCATCATCATCATCATCAGCATCATCAGCAGCGTAATCGGCATCATCATCAGCATCGCCATCATCATCAGCAGCAGCATCATTAGCAGCATCATCAGCAGCAGCATCATTACCCGCATCCCTCCTCCTCTTCCTCATCCTCCTCCCCCTCATCATCATCCTCATCCCATTCCTTTTCTTCGTGTTACTCCTCTTTCTCCTAGTTATCATGTTTTTTCTCCTCGTTCTCCTCCTCTGCGTTCTCCTCCCTTTCGTCCTGCTCCTCCTCCCCCTCATCCTCTTCCTCGTGCTCGTGCTCCTCTTCTTTCTCCTCTTCCTCCTCCTCCTCCTCCTCCTCCTCCTCCTCCTGCTGATCCTCATCCTCTTCTTCCTCCTCCTCTTTATACTCTTCCTCCTCGTTTTCTGCCTCCTCCACCTCCTCCTATTCCTCCTCCTCCTCCTTCTCCTCCTCCTCCTCTCTCCTCTTCCTCCTCCTCCTCCTCCTCCTCCTCCTCCTCCTCCTCCTCCTCCTCCTCCTCCTCCTCCTCCTCCTCCTCCTCCTCCTCCTCCCCATGCCATCTCTTTGGCTGCGGGGCGTTCCCCCTGCTCAGCTCACGGTTCCGCAATTTAAGAGATCGGGGACGTGGAGTGGGTCCTGGGCTCTGGCCATGTCGGGGCGCCAGCGCAGCCGTTGGAAGCTCTCGATCGAGACTCTTGTGGGGCTGCGTTTGTTTTCGGGGATGGGTCTGGAGGCCGTTACAGCAGCGATCCTCGTCGCCGCAGGGTCGGCGCAGCGGCTTTGGCACTCAAGCCCACCAGCGCGGGGTGGGAGCTGTTGTCTGGGGTGGCCAGCACGTTGGGAGGTCGACGGCAAACCGTCCCGAGAGCGGAGCTCCGTGCGTTCGAGCTAGCCCTGAAGGCCTACGCAGGCCCGATAATCTTCATCACAGACAATGCGGCGCTGCACCACGGCTGGATGTTCGGTCGGCCCTGAGGTCTCGCGAAGGTTGCGTCCAGGTGATTTGGACGCCCTCGCATGTGGACCCCGACGACCCTGCCCTCACCCCGCTCCAGCGTCACCTCGCGGTTGGGAACAGCCTCGCCGATGAGCACGCCGGGGACGCTGCGAATCGTTAGTGGGAGCTTGCCCTTGAGGGCCGTCGGGCCCCCGACACCGACAAGTGGGATTGCACGGCCCATCTCATACGCAGGAGGGCCGCCAAAGCCATGGTAGACGCCATCGCCGCAGCACCGTGGACCTCCACTCGGCCCAAGACGGGCCGAGAGGCCAAGAGTGCGCGCGACAAGGCGCTCCTGAGCAGTGCGCACTGCTGGACTTGGGCTCACAGCAAATGGGCTTGCGCGCTTTGCCATTGCATCTAGAACGATCCAGATATAATTCAAGCTGCCTCGACCGAATGTCCAGGTGCTGAGTCGCGCGACGACCAGGCCTTCGATATCATAGAGCGGGCGGCCAGTGGGGCGGTGGTGGGGGGAAAGGTGTTGCACGGATCCCATCGCTTGTTTCACTGGCCTCGGTTGTCCTTGCATTTTTATTCCCACTGTGGCAAAACCGCATCGACGGACACGCGTCAACTCACTGGGCCGTGCACGCCTTCAAAGAAGGGCCATGAGAATTTGGCCCGAACTCGCCAGGGCAAGCACCCCAGCCATCACGGGCCGTCTGCGGTTGTCATAGAGGCTGATCTCTCCAGGGTTCGACGGATCGAGGCGCGTCGAGGTTCTCACCTCCCTGGTGTGATGTGGTAAAGGGTTCGGCTACGTCACCTGTAGCGCTTATAGAATCCCATAGAATCCTCCTCCTCCTCCTCCTCCTCCTCCTCCTCCTCCTCCTCCTCCTCCTCGTCCTCCTCCTCCTCCTCCTCCTCCTCCTCCTCCTCCTCCTCCTCCTCCTCCTCCTCCTCCTCCTCCTCCTCCTCCTCCTCCTCTCTCCTCGCTCCTCTCTCCTCTCTCCTCTCTCATCTCTCCCCTGTCCTTGGCTGGATGCCCATCCCTCCCATGTGCCTCCGAGACGTGCTCTTTCGGCGTCTTCTGGCGGGACTGGGAGGTGTGGGACTGGTGTCGACCCGGTGCGAGTCCTCGCTCGCTTCGGGCTCAGGCCCCGTGAGGAGGCCGAGTCTCTCGGGGCCCGTTCGCGGGAGCGCAGACGGTCAGCTGGGCCACCCCCGGAGGCCTTCGGCTCCAGAAACGTTGGGAGCTTGTTTTGTTGCGTGTCTGATGCGGCTGCACCGTCATGGCCGTCGCCGTGTTCCTTCCTCCCTCCCTCCCTCCTCCTCCCCCTTCTCGCCCCCCCCCCCCCCGATCATTCCGCCCCCCGGCGCGGGGGACGGTGGTGAGAGGCGGAGGACGCGCCCCCCCCCCCCCCCCCCCCCCCCGGCGCGCAGCACCCTCGCGGCGGGAAAGCCAGCCAAGTCCCCCGGGACGGCAGCGGCCGCAGCCGACAAGGGCAACAGGGAGAGCGTGGAGGACTTGGCTGTGGAGGCTCCAAGGGCGGCCCATCGCCCCAGACCTCTTTGCTCCTTTGTCTCCCCTTCCTCCTCCTCCTCCTCCTCCTCCTCCTCCTCCTCCTCCTCCTCCTCCTCCTCCTCCTCCTCCTCCTCTCCTCCTCCTCCTCCACCTCCTCATCTCCTTCCCCGTCCCCCACCTCCTCCTCCTCCTCCTCCTCCTCCTCCTCCTCCTCCTCCTCCTCCTCCTCCTCCTCCTCCTCCTCCTCCTCCTCCTCCTCCTCCTCCTCATTCATGCCAGCGGAAACGCGCTTCAACGCCGCCCTCCTCCTCCTCCTCCTCCTCCTCCTCCTCCTCCTCCTCCTCCTTCTCCTCCTCCTTCTTTTTCTCCTTCTCCTCCTCCTCCTCCTCCTCCTCCTCCTCCTCCTCCTGCCTCCTGCTCTTCCTCTTCCTTGTTTCTCCTCTCTTCTCTCTCATCTCTCCTCTCTCCTCTCTCCTCTCCCTCCCCGTCCTCCTCCCTCCTCCTGCTCCATCCCCTTTCCTTATCAACCACTTCTCCATTTCGACTGAGACGTTCCTCACTTCTCATGGTCTTGAAACTCGGAATCTGCAAAAGCTTCAAGGATGGAGAGCGGGCCGTTTTCAAAGTGGAGCTCTCGCCATAGCGCCGCGCACATTCGTCTTCAAACTTGCTCAAGGATGAAAGGGGGGTCGTTTTTCCCCACTAGCGTTCCACCAGAGGGTTTTCATAGAAGTGAAAAAACAAAACACAAGAGTCCCAAAGGGTAGGGACGGGCAGCCCGGGACCGCCAGGTCCGGCGGCGGTTTGGCGGCTTTTCGCTCGAGACGCCTTGACAATGCATTACGGAATCGCATCCTCGCCTCAAGGCCGGTACATCGTTGGTCTACACGCTGCTCATTTGTTATGATTCGAGAGTTATTTGATTTCTTGGGCGGCCAAGGTCCTTTCGCTTCCAATCGTTCTATCCTGGGCCTCTTCCTGGCCACAAGGGGGCCAGGAACAACTAGAAACGAGCACAATTCGACTAGACGTGAGAGTGACCTTTCGCCGGAGTGACCTTTGGTGCGGGCCCAGTGGGGCCCCCCGATCGCCGAACGCGATGCGATAGTAGCGCCTTGCGCGCATGTGTTTGGCCCCCCCGCGGCCCCCAATGAACCGCGCACCAAAGGTCACTCTTACCCAGGGTCACTCTTGCGTGTAGTCGAACAAGTAGACATGAGCACGATCAGAAATGAACGACGTGTAGAAGGCCACGGTCATTCTGCAACACACACGAAGGTGCACATAGAGAGCCCCACAGAGGGGTTGGGGAGCCCGCAGCCGCCCAGTCCAGTCCGGCAGCCGCTTCGTGTTGTGTCGGGCCTGTTCCTCTACAGGAGGAAGATTCGATGATACTGGAGAAGAAACCCAATCATAACATTTTAGGGCTGTAGGGCTATGGGGCTATACGGCTATAGGACCATAGGGCTAGGGCTATAGGACTATAGGGCTATAGGAACATAGGAACATAGGGCGATAGGGCTACAAGGCAATAAGGCTATAGGGCTGTAGGCCTATAAGGGCTATAGAGTTATAGGGCTATAGGGCGATTGGGCTATAGGGCATAAGGACTATAGGGCTATAGGGCTATAGGACTATTAGGGCTATAGGGCTATAGGGCTATAGGGCTATAGGTCTATAGGTCTATAGGGATGTGGGGCTATAGAGCTATAGGGCTATAGGGCGATAGAGCACCCGGGCACCCCGGGGCACCCTGGGGCACCTCCAGGCACCCCTGGGCACCTCCGGGCACCCCCGGGCACCCGGGCACCTGGGCGCCCCCGGGCACCCGGGCATACATCCCCGGGCACCCGGGCACCCGGGCGTGCGGCGAAAATCGGCGGCAAACCTAACCTAACCATATGACTCCGCTAGGACCCCTACAGAGGCAAGCTCTGACTGGGGAAAAATAGTAAAAAAATAGTCTGGGGACGATCTTTAGATTATTTGTTAGACCATTTGGGGGTATTTTGGGGGCATTTCTAATTTTTCAACCAAAATCCGCCTGTAGGGGGACATGCCCGACCTAAGCATCGTGCTCTCTCGCGCCGGCCACATTCCCTACTAGCCTATCGCTAGAAGGTTCTCATCGGCACCACCCCAACATACTTCTACTATATGTGCGTCGCACCCCCAGGGGGCGACGCGCGCACCGAGAAGTCTTATAGTATATGCATCGTGTCGGGCGCTGTCTGGCCACGCCGCTCGGGAAACGATCTACTACAAGATGGGTATACTATATGTTCGGTTCAGACGCGCGCCACCAATTACGACATATAGTACTAGTATGTCTCCGTGCGTCCCATCTAAGATAAGTGAATCGGGGGTGAACAGAAACCCCACCTTGACACGTCGATTCGTGAATTGTCCGTGTTCGGTTCTCGACAGGGCGCCTGGGCCGTCATTTTCCAGGCTTGCGCCCGCCAGGTTTGGGCCCGAGGTCGTTTCCATTAAACCACGTTTTGCTAAAGGGGTTTCTGTTCAGCCCGAGACGGCCCAATCCGGCGGCCGTCTGGCAGCCGTTTCGCTTGAGATTTCATGACGTCGGGCGGGGCTAGGACGAGGATTAACCTGTTCCAGAGTTTTCCAGAACGCTTTCAGAGCGTTCCGGAACGTTCTGAGAAGGCCGCAGCGCCCGAGGCATCCTCCAGCGCCGTCGGATCTCAGAAATTCTCGACTTATCTTCACCCGAATGTATCGTCGTCTTGACTTCGACTTGATTTGGAATGCTGGTTACACGTTTTACATGTTTGTTTGCTGCATTGGAGCGCGAGTAGCTACTTTGCGAGTAGTGGAACGCGCTTATCTATCAATACTGGCTACATGTTTCATGTTTGCCCCGGCGGTCACGATCTGCTTGTTAAAAGGACACAAAGGTAGGTCCACATGGCCGTGCTCTCGCCCCTTGTCCCTGCTACATGTCCGATCTCTTGCCCCTCGACCCGCCTTTTTGTCGCCTCTGCTGCTATCGTATGGCGCTCTGCCAGATCAACCCAAACGTGGGGCGTTCCAAACGGGCCTCGCCTTCGAGGATCGAACGAGGTGTCATCCCTTCCGCGGCGGAACGTCGGCGGCACTAAATCGAGGCCGCCTCCGCCGGCGGAAGCTGGCGGAGGGGGTGCTCGAGCGTGGGACCGTCGGGTTCTACGTCCGTACCCGCTCCTCAGGCCCCCTATCTCGTGCTTTAGGTGACTACGAGGTTGCGCCGTGTCTACGGTAGGTTTTTCGCTGGGCCCACCGCTAAACATCCGATGGGACGTTAGAGGGTGTTGCGTTGGTAAAGGGAAGGCCGGCGGAAGGCGGCGCAAGTAAAAGTTGCGCCCCCAAGAGATGAAAACGTTTTTGGGTTCAGGGTTTCCAGAATCCGCCATATTCGGGACCTCGCAAAGGACGGGGGTGCCACAGGGAAGGGGGGGGTGAGTTCGGTCCGTTGGCGCCTCGAACCGCAGAAAAACTATGCAAAACGAGCTCTCCAGCCGCCGCAGGAACCCGAGAGGCATCGACAATCGGGGCGCGCGGGGGGGCATCGTTTTTCTGAAATTCGATGCACCAGCGGATCGAACTCCCCCCCGCCCCCCTCAGGGTCCCCCCCCTTTGGTGGACCCCGACATATGATTCTCGCCGTAGTGCCGCGCACATTCGTTCCAAAAGTTCGCAGCATGGTCTCAGTGGTGGAAGGGGCTTCCTCTTTTCAACATGGGGCGCTCGCCGTGGTGCCGTGCAAATTTTAGGAGGGGGAAAACACAGACACCATGAATCGTCGATTCCCCCGAAAATATGGGAAGATCTGGGAAGTGGGGGGGAAGACACAAACCCCGAAAATATGGGAAAGCATGGGGAATCCTGCAATTTGTGTGTATTTATTGGTGTGTCCCAGGGCCCGTTTCAAAATTCACTTGACAGGTTCGTGGCCACTTCTGTCATGGAGGGCGGTTCCTTGCCAAAGGTGGGCTCTCCCTTCAGCGCCGCGCATATTCGTCGCAAATGCTTGCAACAGTTGCAGGGATTGCCTGTGGTGTAGTTTCAAGGTGGGGTTTTCGCGTAAGCCAGGAAGTTGAACAAATACAACAGCTGCACTGATGAAGGGAGGCTCTTCTTCAAAGGTGGGCGTTCGTTCAAAACGTCGCCATCTGGAAATTGAAAGATCGGACGCTCCACCATATGGTACAGTGGCACGGATGGGGGGCAGCTTTTCAAAATGTAGTTTTCGATTGAGATTTCTTCGACGCTCATGGCTGGAAGGTTCAGGGGGCGGTCCTTGTTCAAACAGGGCGGTCTTTTTTCTCAAAACGAGGACATCGCTGGGAACTCCGTCGGTTGGGCTGTATGATCGTACCTCTGCGCGTTCCTGACTACTCGCTGGAGGATGCGCGGCAGCTGGTTCCTTGTTCACATCGAGGCTCTTACCTGAATGGCAAGACCATACAGCGCGTGTCGTTCCAGGGGGCACTTCTTGAAGAGAAAGGGAAGGCCTGTATTGACTTGCGAGTAAGGTTTTCGGCAGATTTTAGGAAGGTTCTTCCAACAAAAAACCCTCCTGAGGAAGGTTTTCGGCAGGTTTTTGGAATGTTCTTCCAAAAAACCATCCTGAGGAAGGTTTTTGGGAGGTGTCGGGAAGATTCTTCAAAGAAAACCCTCCTGCGGAAGGTTTTAGGAAGGTTCTTCCAAAAAACCCTCCTGAGAAGGGGACTTGAGACGGGAGGGTGTGCTGCAGCATCGTTGGTGCATCTTGGGTTTGTTCTGGTCCTCCTCCTCCTCCTCCTCCACCCTTGCTCTTTTAGAACAACTCTCAGGAGGGGAACAAACACGCAGACACAATGAACCGTCGAGTCCCAGGGAAATATGAGAAAATATGGGAAGTGGGGGGGAAGACGAAAAGCCAGAAAGTATGGGAAAAAACATGGAGAGTCCTGGGATTCGTGTGTATTTGTTTGTGTGCCCTTGGGCCCCATTCAAAAACT